ATCTTATATATAATACTCTCCTGTCTGTGACACACACAGACTTTTCTAAAGTTATTATTATTATCTATTTATACCTACATAGATTTATCACAATGCTCGCCGTCCAGTTCAGTTAGCTTCGTCAGTTGAAAAGAATTAGTAAGAAACTCAATCAGGTACATTATCTACCTAATAGGTACATAAAATTTTCATTTTTCAGTTTCGAACAAAACTCCTCTGGAACGGCTTGACCGATTTGTATAAATATGTGTATATTCCGTAGGTCTAAAAGTAGGACGTAAACTATCTCTCTTACCACTAAGTAATAAAGTACTATCACAATTTTTCTTATTTTTAGAACAGTTTATTTTATTTTATTTTTCTATGATTCGCATTAAAAAATACACACAACCCTAAATCTACTTTCAACCTCTAATGTTTAATAACGATATTAGTACTGTAATAGTTTTCTACTCTCGGCTGTCGATAACCGATTGGCTTATATACCTAACAAAACAACGTTTGCCGGGTCAGCTAGTCCACCTATAAAATAATTATCATTACATAGTATAAAACAAAGACGCTGTCGCTGTCTGTCCATCCCTATGTATGCTTAAATCTTTAAAACTACGCAACGGATTTTGAAGCGGTTTTTTAATAGATAGGTGATTCAAGAGGAAGGTTTATATGTATAATACATGTTCACCTGCCGGGGCGAGTAGCTAGATAGTAATAATACTTATAATATATTTATTTGTACAATTTTACATCTTATTTTGTTATAATATATTATAAACGTGAAAGTTTGTGGGTATGGATGGATGATTGTTACTGTTTCACGCAAAAACTACTGAACGGATTTTCATGAAAATTTACAGTTATATTACCTTATATATCAGAATAACAATGTATTATATGTACCTAAATAAAGTTCACGCGCGTGAAATGGCGGCACAGGTAGTTAAGGAATATAAATGATATGTTTAAATAACAATCCCTGCACTAATCCAGAGACGTGAGTTACAGCAACAAGATTTACAAATATATGATATTAATATCTAAATTTAAGTATGAAAGTAAACACCACACTGTATGGGAAATTTAAGCTCATGGGTATATATTTTGCTACCTTTATACAAATAGCTAGGGACGGCTTCGCAAGGGTGCAGTTACTAGAGGGATATATTGAAAATACAATACAGCCCAAGTGGCCCGTTGATAATGTAGCAAATGAAGTAACAGTACCTACCACCTGTCAATAGTAGATGAAATAATTTAAAAAATTTGGTATATATTTTTATTTAATTCATCACAAACAAAAGAGTATATTTTTCTTTTTTTTTATCTTATATTAAATTAGATAAGTATGTAAAAACATTGTACATACATATCATATTTTTCTTAAATCATTGTTGTGATATGACATTTATTATATGAATTATCACGAAATTTTACAATCGATCAATTTTACAGTTACCTTTAAAATGTTTTTAAATAACCGTTATATATACACATAAATAGAATAGAATATAAACACTGTTGACTAATCATTTTCTTTTCCTTTTTTATTTCAACACTGGATCGGAACGCAGACATGTCACAAGAAGCTGGCATGTTGGTCTTTTAAATAAATGTAGTACAAAATTATATTTTGTAATTGATATACGATCATTTAAAAGTCATAAACGATGATATTAAATAAAATTAACTACATATTACGATTTTGTGTGCATTCTGTAAATAACCGACAACGAACGCCACCTAGCGTCAAATAGCTAAACTACGCACTACAACAAACGTAACAGACGACAAATATCATAAATAACATTTTCTTGATATTAAATACAAAAATATACTCAATTAATAAAATCCATCGATGATGAGGAGATTGATGAGGTGTATAAGATGTGATATCTAACAAAAGTGGTATTAACCATAAAATAGGAGGCAGCCCCAGCGAATCGATTACGAGCAAAAAGGATCTTAACGCCATCGCGGCCGTAAGATTGAGATCTTGCGAGGGCCGAGAGCCGAGGGCCGCGTCCGCTGGCGTCCTCTCCGCATGATAAATATCCATCTTCCCGCTTTTTACGCGTCGAGGGTGTCACGCAAAAAAATGAATCAGGAAATTTACCTAATGGGCGCGATTCTTTATTTTCCATGTCTATTGTCGTGCGGACAATGCCATAATGGAGGGATGACGTGAGCTCGCACATGCTTTTATTTTATTCTTCTCGTTTGAAATGTTACTCGTCTTCTGTCCCTCCCTTTATGTGACTACTTACAATACAATACCTACCGATGTTACGTTGCTTTTTGTGTAGACATACTTTATAGTGCTAATATAATTTTGGCGATCATTTCAATAGATACTCATATTTTGGGAAATACTTCGAATTCTTATATAAATCAAAAACACTTTCTTGTTCTGTCTTTTCTCCTCTACCCAAAGGTTGTTTGGAAGAGATCGCTTCAGTGACAAGACCGCCTTTTGTACCTACGTACTATGTATAATTATTTTGTTTTGTATTTTTTTAAAGGTTGCAATAAAAAGTTATAGATAAAGTATTTTGTTATAACAAATTAATAAAGGAAAAATAAGGACGATTCTCTCTTATTTTAACAATTATTATGTGTCACGTTGTTGTTAAAATACAAGAAAAATGCTAGTCAAGAAGCTGTAGTATAAAACAAAATTGTACAATCCCAGAACTATAAATTTAACTACAAACTTTATAATATAAAGAACTAACAAGAATTATAAATATTATAGAAACTCTACAAACACATTAATTACCATTCCAAATTAAACTAACTTAGGAATGTGTACACTCACATATCACTTCTATAAACATGTTATTTACAGTTAATTTCTTATACATAGTTATATATAAATGCCTCATCAGTCCTCAGAATCTACTATAATAATCAAAATACTAACATTACTATTAAGTGAATCATATAATATTACATTATGAATACAATTTATTATGTATATGATGTTACAATATAATGATACTAATAATTGCATGCAAGGACATTCATATATAAATAGAAATTAATGGCTGTGACCAGTATAGTAAAAATAAATTAAATGAGTACATTTTAAATAACTGTATAAAAATATTTTATTTTTTGTATAATAATTTTTATTCAGTCATCTCAGTACAAAAGTTGAATATTTTAAACTTTTGTACATATTCAAACTTACTAGATACTGTTAAATATAGGTACAATATGGGTACTTCAATATTGGAACCTAAGAGTCCTTAGAGACCTAAATGTCTTGCTGTGTCATATGTAATTTTTCTACCTAAAATTTAAAACCATTCATAATTTTTTTTGAAGCATTCATACTTACATGTGATTGTTACATAAATAAAAAATAATACCATGAAATAAATATAGAATTATTCTTCTATTGTATTCATTATTATAGTTACCTACCTGTTGTAAATATGTAGATATAAAATCCAAGAGCTGCCCACAAGTGAAACACCTTAAATGTAAATACTAAAATATATTTACAATAAAATAAATTAACACTAGTTCACAAAATATTACACCAAACTCCAATATTAATATAAAAGCTGCTTGAGAATTCAAAGTTTGACATACTTCAATCTCACAGATCACCTTCCATTAATAGCTATTCAAATGAGAGTCAACCAGATCCATCCGATTACAATGTAACACTGCCGGGGAATTGTGAGCACTCACCGATCAGGGACTCCGCACACTCCGGACGAATAAATTCAAAATTTCACTATCTCTATGTTCCCATTGGATAACCAAACCCACACCCTTTTGCGCGTGTGCTAAAAAACGGAAGGGTTAAACAACTTACCCCTTTTTTATTTCACCCTATATTTTGCATCTCTTTCTTCATCTCTCTTCTGATCTGAAACTACAGAAACAGCACAAAGATGATCAAATTATGATAACTAATATCCAACAATACCTCTTAGATAATGTTAGATTTAATTCATTATTATTTAAAATATTGTATATAAATAAGTATAAAAAGAAGCAAATTTATTTACCAAACTTTTAACTTTTAGGTATTAAAAATAATATTAAACGTTATTTATCCTGGGCAATACAGGGCTACATAAAATGGGTAAATATTTTTCATAAAAAATAGAGGTTTATTTTTTAAAACAAAAATATACAAACTTGCACAAAAGTTCGCTAAGAAACGTCAAAAAGCAGTGTGGCCAGATTTAAATTGATAATATTGCTAATTAATCTGCTCGTGCTAAAGACATTCTGAGTCAAACTGATTAATCAGAATGATTCGTCCTGTCCATCACACTCAGAATTAATAGGTAGGATTAAATATAATGATGCTACGCGTAGTTAGGCCAACATATTTTGGTATGAACATGTTATGTGGAGAATGATGAAAAGTGAGAGGACTACCGAAAAAAATATTGTGCGAAAGATGATATTATTATGTACAAACAGTTCAATATTGATCCTTTATTTATTGTATTATGTTGGTTAAAGACAAGAAGCTGAAAACTAGGTAAAAGAAAAATAAATAATCTATTTTCTGAAATAAGTAAATATTGAAAAATAATATTAATTTAGTAATACTTATATTTGTAGTCCATATTAGTGAGATCAAGAGAGTCAATATTGTCTAAACTAAATGATAAACTCAGTCTGGTCACACTAAAATGCAAATTATGAGGACGTTCCGTTATACGTAATCTATCCAGAAAGGAAATTAATTGTCGATTTCTTAATATTGGTTCCTAACATGATTTACCCTGAAAATTACAACAAAGTAGTATTAATAATTATTTTTCTGTAATAAGTCCATACTTGGAAAAGTATCATACATAATGTCTTATTCCTTAATATACTGTCAAGCATGACACTGACATAAGTGACAGATTTTTTTTAATAAGATAGTACCAGTAGCAGTTTGTAGCAGTAGTAATATACTGTGTTGTTAATTTTTTACAGATTAATATAATAGAAATAAATCAATAACAAGACAAGGTTTATATCTAAGTATTTTTAAATTGAGAATAAATATGACACTTTACCATTTTGGAAACTGTTTAGCCTTAGTTTATGCTCCATATCATATGGCTTACAAAATTTCTGGAATGTAAGACTTCGTTCAAATAGGTTATAATTCTAAGTTATAAAACTTACTGTATTTATTGCATAAAAATAAATCTAATGTTTCAGTTCTGAATACGCAACGTTCTCAAAATGTGTGTACTCTGGAGGACTATATATTTTCACACAGTTATGCAAAATGCTTCTTTTAGCTACTTTCTTCCCGGATTCTGACGTTAATCAAGTTGGAGAATACAATGGATTTCTCGTAAGTTTATTGTCACGATTTCATACATTATTGTAAGATGATCTGTGTATGTAGCCTTAGCACTACAAGCTTAGTATCTAAATTGATATATATGTACATTATGAAGTTGAATGGCACTGCAACATCCATCAGCAAATTTTTAAGGAGCTCTGTGGTAGCAGTACAACAAAATACACCTCAATATGTTGTTTACATATTTATTTACCACCTCACAATAGATCCAGATAGACGGACAAACCGGAATGAGTACTAGTAATCAATATCAATATATTTCGGAAATCATAAATTTGTAACTAAATAATCTAAAAACTATATATCTAAACTATGTATCACCTGATGACTGTGAATTATTTATTATGATTTAAAATATTCAATGTTCAATTATAGTCTATGTGTAAAAATTTCATTCAAAAAGTACTATTATATTTATTATCTTTATGTAGTACTAGCTGTACCCGCGTATTTGTCCACATGGAATTTAACTTTTTTTTCTAAAATAAAAGTAAACTAAGTTACATCTCCTGTCCAAAAATATTGGTCCACAGTTCTGAGATTAGCCGGAACAAACAGACAGACAGACAAAAATTGTAAAGAATGATATTTTGGTGCATGTATTTATATTCATGTGTATGTAGTAAAAAATGGTTATTTCAATATTACAAACAGACACAAGGCGGTTGTAAGTAATGGGAAGTATAATAACCCCATTGATAGTAATGTACCATGTAATGTTGACCTCCACATGGTACCCCTGGAAACTATTGTGATAAATTTATGATTAATTTACCACAATGGGCTAACTGACCTGACCTCATGCTCATCTTATCATCCTCCACTGGTGCCCGTCAGCGCAGACGGGTGCACCATTTCATTATCATACATAAGAAAAAAAATGTAAATAATAATACCTAGTAATTTATCTATTTACAGGAAATCCTTAAATCAACAGTGGATTTGGCCGATTTACTGGGCTTGTACTTTGCAATAAACGCAATCCCTGGTAAAGGCCATGCAAAGATTTTAACAGCAGCTATAGGCTGGGCGAGTGCTGAGGTACATATATGTTAATAACTAATACATTTTACACACTAATATTGCACTAATAATTTTTCTATTTGAGTATTTAATTTAATTAGTGCTACTTAGTGGTTTGTATTCACACACTTAAACTTAAAAATGTAAAGTAAGAATAAAATAATTTAAAAGATCAATACGCAAGTATCTTGCTCGTTGTTCTTGTGATGCGACAGCTTTCCAATTTTGGATTACTTACATTTACATTTATACCGCTAAATAGCGGTAGATTAAAAAAATGTGATGACTGTTCAAAAGTGCTTCAATGTAAGTTTATTTGAATAAATGATTTTCTATTCTATTCTATATTAACATTACTTCTTTACTCCCATTGGGAGAATATAATCACAAAAAGAAGATTTAGCCGTCTTCTAGTATCCTTTACTGGTTACACTATGATAATCGACATAAACAGACCAGTAGTCACAAATTACTATTACTTAAAAAACTTGTTTTTTAAATTGAACCAAACAGCAAACAATGATTCATCCATTTCTAAAATATTGTATTTATGTAATTTGCAAGCAGGTATCCTACCTTATGATCAGTGATGACTTTAAATAAGTTATTGGACATTATAATTTGCAAACTCTAAAGGTCCATAAAATGAAATTTATGTCTTCTGTAAGGTCTTTTTAGTTTTACATAGTCATTAAATCTTCCATAGGGGTTCAATTGTCATTTTTTAAACAACAACTGCTTTCAATTATTACAGTTGACTGTATTGTACAATAGACGGTGCTATAAGATATATATGAATTAAACTATTGTACAGAACACTTATTACAAACTATTATCTCTTGTTTTTATGAATCTCTGTTGATGTATGTGTGCAGGTGCTGGTGACACGCAGCATACTACTTTGGGTCGGAGCAAGAGGTTCGGAGTTTGACTGGCGTTATGTACGATCATGTGCGGAGTCCAATGTAGCGCTGTTGCAACACGCCTCGACTGCCGCCCTTGTGTGGCTCTGGACTCGCAGCGATTTGCCGCGCAAATACACCCCACTTGTGATAACGCTTCTGGCATTATCCCCGTACAGAAGCTTACTAGAAGAAACAGTAGCGAGCATTATGGCTCTGAGTGCGTGGGCGTTACTCGCGTTACGTGCAATTCATGCGTCCATTGTCGGTCTTACGACTCTCGGCATATATGCAGTATTAGCTCAACAGATTGGTATATAATTCCACCATAATAATAATAATAATAGTAAATTATTATTTATTATATTAGTATTTTAAAATATGTTTTATAAATTTGTCATGTAAAAGTTTACTATTCGTATTTGCCTTTTGTTCCTTTTGTTAAGACATAATTTTTTCATGTTTTATCAATCCATTTACCACACACGTTTTATTATTCTATTTACCTGTATTAGTACTTTCTAGTAACTTTTACTGTTATTTTAGGAAAACAACGTTTCAATTGAATAATATTAAGGATTCATGGAATTCAGAGAGAGCCATAGTTGTGTCGGTTTCATTTAGTACTTCTTTAAATGTAAGATATGAAATACAGTCATAATATTTATACAGGTTTTCATTACAAAAATCTCTCCTTTCTTCAAACCATTGGTCCATAGTGTTTTTATATTTTAAATTTATTTCTAAAGTTTGAGCTGTGTGATATACTACACATATATCATGTACTGTACCTCAGTAGGTAATGTATATGATCAATACATGAGGACAACCGAGTCGGCGTGGTAATATGTCAAGTCATGTTCTAATTATTTAGAATATTAGTTAGCCTTAAAGTGTAATTATTCTTTTTATTTATGTCAATATTTAGATCTCCACACTAAATAGCACGTTTTCTTAATTTCTTTATAACAAAATCTTTGTAATATTATGTTATCTGTGCTAGTAGCTTATCAAGAGTGGTAAAGAAAAAAGCTATCAGAATTTGGTGTTCGGTAGATGCAAATGACAGCCAGATTACATATAATAATTTCGATAGCAGCGCATTCGAAGCTTTTCAGTACCGCACAAAATATCAATGAACTAATTTTTGTCCGACAATTCTTCTAATATAATATGTAGTATGTCTTGTTTCTTTAAAATACCTGCAAAATTCTGATGAAAAATTGTGAATTTATTTTTATAATTAGTTACGAAAAAAACTGAGTGTTTGATTTTATATATGTTTTTTTTGAGTTGTATTTATACTAGTTTCCCTTATATTTGGAGATAGCTGAAATAATATTTATATTATTAATATAATATTACATAGTATAGTAGATTCAATCCGGGCGAATACACAATGATCGTGTATTTTAAGAACAGTTTTAAGGCTGCATATCTATAACATTAGCATAAACATCACTAAATGCATCATCGCTAAAACCATGTGATTCTATCCTAGTGGTGGTGGTGGTATCTGTAATACTGGGCCACCGGGAGAAAGGGTATGAATTGTATGTGTGATAAAATTATCATAAGTATAAGTGAACCGTTCAGTTTATAAATCTGATGGTAGCTCCACGTTCTATTCCAAGCCAACTAGCCAAAGTTTCTGCATAAAAGTACAATAGTGTAATGTACTAACCAATCAAGAAAATAGAAAGTTTTAGTTATCGCAGAGAGTTACATTTCGTTTAGTAACATTGATAGTACTTCTCGCATTTTATTTTTAATGTTGACATGTATGTTTTGTGAGGTTTTCTTCGATTTCCCTAGACTGCCTAAGTAACTGATCCACCAAAATTTGTGTCAAATCATCCAAATTTGTGTAAGTAACTACAATATTATTGTGTATTGGTGCATCAGTACGTGAAACGCTGCCAGACAACAACCAGCCAGGCGTGAATAAAGAGCATCGAGGGACTTGTGTTTGTGTATTCCGTCGAGAATTATGTGGGCGTGCACATCAGCTCCTAATATAACATCTATAGAACTTGGCTTGTGGAAATCTGGATCGATCAGATCCAGCTGCATCGAAGAAGGCCAAATATCTTGTGGGAATTCTCGAGACGATTGTAAAGAAGTAAATTTTTGAAGTAAATAGGCATTGATTTTAAATTGTGAGTGTGATGCTTTTGTACTGTGAATTATGAGAGTTACCATGGACGTAGTAACTGCATGTGAGTTAGATATTCCAGTGATATTACCATTTACAGCTGTGCAAGCAAGATTTAATAAATGTGCAGCTGTTTCTGTTATAAATGAAGTCTGAGTGCCTTGGTCTATGAGTGCCCTGAGAATGCGAGTAGAACTATTTTTAGCTATTACTTTAATTCGAGCTAGAATAGAATAGAAAATCATTTATTCAAATAAACTTACGTTGAAGCACTTTTGAATAGTCATCACAACTTTTTTTTTTAATCTACCGCTCATTAGGAAACCTGTCTCATCACATGAAGAACGAGCAAGAAACTTGCGTGTTGCTCTTTTAAATAATTTTATTATTACTTTACAATTTAAGTTTAAGTGTGTGTATACAAACTACCGATTAGCACTAATTCAATTAAATAATCAAATCGAGCTGTAGCTAAAAGGACTTGTTTATCATTTGTTTCAGTCTTAGCGCTAATAGTGTAACAAGACGTGGAAGGATTTTCTGTAGACTCATTGTTCTCAGTTGTGGTGTCTGAGTTGTTAATATGGCTGGTTCTATTGGGTGGGTTATACATGTGTAGAAAAGTGTGATGACGTCGTCCGTATTTCTTACAATATTAAAAAACCTATCATAAGGTTGGCAGCCCTGAGATCAATCAACCCATGCAAATGCGCGTCTATCGAAAGAATTTCTGGTCGCTTGTTTTTGGTCGGTGTATATGATTAGGAAGGCCCCTAAGTAGATTTAGCCCAAGGACCCACAAATTGATGATCCGCTCCTGCTCACATAGCATCTGCACACGCGCCTCCAAATATCCTCTACTAATTTTAGCTCGAGCACACTTCTTCCTACTTGTTACTAATTTCACTAATTTATTTGAATTGTCCAACAATGATGTAATATGTGATTTAATATCAGCTATTTAATATGCAAACAGAAAAGTCCAAAATGTATGAAAATATAGTATATTGTGTCACTGAACTGACTGTTAAATAATTTTGCGTATAGTACTGCACTATATTTATTTTCGTCAATATCGGACCACAAGTAAGACGGACCACAGAATGTATAAAATAAAATGTTTAAATGAAAAATCTTGATCTTGTTTTATTGTATTGGTGTATTCTTAAAAATTACATTAATTTAAAATTCACAGATAATTGTTTTTAGTACTGGCACATGACAATACCAAATAGGTTGTATACATAATGACGGCCTCGGTGGTCTAGCGGTTTATCACACCGCCTTACATCCGATGGTCGCGGGTTCGATTCCTCGCACGGCACAAACATTGTATTTATGAATTATTTGTGTTGGTCTGGGTGTTTTCTATGTATTTACGAAAAAAATCCATGTAGTTGTATCAGTTATCTAGCACCCATAACACAAGCGTTCTTGGGTCTAAAAATATTAAGTTATCTCATAACCACAACAATATGACATTACTACTTACTGTTGTATGCGCAACATGATATACATACATACATACATGCACTGCAACATGACTCTCCTTCATCGTTTTAGAAGATAGTGCTATTGTCGTGGACACGTGCTGACCTACATATTAGTACCTATTACAAATTAATAGATATAATTTATGAATAATTATTTATAAATAATGTGACATAATTATGTATCTATTTAGACATCTGCACATAAAGTATGTCTAACCACTTAATTACGAAAACATAATCTTCGGCAGCTGAAAACCACACAAAAATATAGCCATGCCCTTACTGCGTAGTTAAGTAATTGTAACAAGTCTTGGTTGGTCGCTGGTGCTCCAACAGGATGGTGCGCATCATGAGACAGCCTCTCAGTGAGGTTGAGTGACCCACTACATGAAATCCTTTCATGACAGACTACAGTTTAGTTTTTCAAAAATAACGATGGCGAATAATTATGTTGACAGTGGGGGGCGCGCACGTGTCGCCCCCGACTGCCCCCGCGTACGGCCGGTGTAGTGCTGTAACTTTGCGTATGCTATAATATGTAGTGCTAGTGTGCATACATTGCCATGAGTGGTGCGAATGTACGTGACCTCTCGTGGATGGGTGCGCGGTTCATCGGCACAAACGGAGAGCGGTTAGTTCGTGACCCGCGCATTGTTTGAGTTGCACATTAGCATACCCCGCACCCCGCACCCCGCACCCCGCACCGCTCACACCCACACCAACACGATCAACAGTTATTTCAGTAAAAACCACATAGTTCGAATCGCCCCGTCTATATTATTACTCACAGACATGTGATTAAATAGTTTCATGGTATATTGAAGTATTTATGAGTCAATACCTAAACTAAACGTGGGCTCCGATGTCCTTTTCGGCGGCTTCCTTGATATTTATGTTGGTATGCCAAGTGAAATAATGTAATAATACATTTTACACATTGTAACAAATATATTCTATTTATAAACAATTATTTATTGCTTATATAAAGTGTTACGTTCCGTCGCCTCTACATATAGTAACATTAGACAGTGCAGTTTGGTTTTTCCTTTTTGAACAGTTTATTTCCTATTTATTGTTAATAACACGCGAATGAATATTTGTGTTTCCTGGTTCAAAGACGAGTCGTGAGCATTGTTAATGAATACGACGTTTCGATCTCATCAGCAGCGTCGAGTCTCCATGTTGTACCGCCTATACAACGAAGCTGTTTGACAGGAGGGGTAGCCACTGCCACATCGACAAGAAATTCGGACGAATGCTGTTTCAGAGAGTGAGAGAACTTCTCTAGTACACACCAGGTAGGGTATTTCAAAAATTAATACCATTACAAAATCTTTAATGTACTATTAAAGATTTTGTAATGGTATACATTACAGGTTGTTTTTAATTAAAGTTATTTTGGAGGGAAAGATAGAAGGAAGGAGGGAAAGAAGAAGACCAAGGCACAGATACATCCAGTAAATTAAACAATTGTAGTCCTGACATATCTAGGTTCAAAGAGTATAATGGAAGATCGTGGAGAGTGGCAAGAGCGTTGCTCTTAAATTAGGAATGAAAGATTTTTAAGGGTCGTCAAAGAGCACGTAAGAAGCCTATTTGTTCAGGCGCAACGATGGTCACCGTTTACTGCTATAATTGTAGTTACCACCTTATTGGTGTGTTTATGTTTCCTAAAATGAAAATGTTGAAAGAACTTTCCAAGTAGAGCTATTATTCTGAGTACATACTACGCTCCACAACAACTTCCACTATCTTGTGTACACTACATGTATCTGCCTATAAATTTGATACCTTATCGCGTGTTCGCACACATAATATTAATTTAGTTTATCTTCTACTGTTAGTTATGAATTAAATGAGCTCAGAATTAACGAGATCATTGTGATCTTTTGTTAGGTACACGATGTGGCCGCGTCCTTAAACTGGATCTTAGATCCCGGCGCGCGCGCACTGATAGTGACAACAATGTGAGCGGCGGCCGTCCGGCGCGGCTCACTTTAATTGCGCGAGTTATATCACTCGGCGCGTTATCAGTGCACGATTAGATACCGCCGCGAGCGCACGCCTCGCGCCGCCGCCGACCAGCACTCGCCCCCCGCCCCTCCGCGCCGCCCACGCCGCCCCCGCCGCCGCCCTGCACCACGCGCCGCCCGCCCCCGGCACACGGCCGCCGACATGCGGAGCAAGGACCGACTCTCGGAGCTGAAGAAAGTAAGTGAACACCCGCCGCGCCCCACGCGCTCCACGCTTGTGTAATACATGATAACACCGGCAGATTACTGAGATTATGGCCTTTCAGGTATTATCGTTTCATTCAAACCGTGTACCCAGTATACGAGATATGATATTCACTGTACTACCTAATGGCACTGTGCTATCTAGCACTGTTACCTGGCAAATAGAGAATGTAAACTTAACGACTGTGTGTATGCGCAGGCTATCTAACTGACGAAGAGTTCATTCACTATTTAAAAGATGCAGTTTGAGATGAAAAGGTTGTACCTACGTAGAAAGTATATATACATATGTATCATCTAATACGAGACCGTATCGCTATAACAATAGCCCAGATCACACGGCGGTATCTCCTGTCAAGCTAAGCATAGCTTGTACTGTGGATTAAACGTGGTTTATAAATATATATATTGTAATACATACATAAAAAACATCAGACTAATACCATGAATTACATATGTTTGTTTCATGGGAGAGTCGAGCCCGCCATTTCGTGTGCTAATCCGCTAGAGCACCGAGAGATTTGATTAATTCTTATATTAGTTAGATATTACAGCAACATTTCTTACAAACTATCGAAACATATATTAATTTTAATATAACACTACTATATATAAATTTTATATATAACATAAAGTGATTTAAAGAATGCACGTCGTGTGCACGTATGTGTGCTCTCAACTATAAAGTGGGGCGGTGGTGGTGAGCTCCTCTCGTACAGCGGCCAGGAGGCTGCAGTAGGCAGCGAGTGCAACAGTCGTAGCAGCCAATATACGTGAATGTTGTGTCCGTACAGGCCAGCTCGGCTCACGGGGCCGGCGTCTACAACACCACCACGGTGCAGCTGACGCGCGACGAGCTCTCTCAACCGCAGCGAGACATCAGGGACATACTACAGGAAGTAAGTGCCTACCTAATAGTTCTATCGTGATATGCATTTAAACTTACGGTGCAGCCTCATCACCGTCTAAGGCCAGGTCCTTCTTTTCTTTTAGGCATTACTTGCTTTAAGGCTAGACTTGTGGAACGCCAAAATAAGTCAGCAGGAATGTGCCACTGCGATGCGACTTCATTCTGATGATACTACTGTGGGTTCTATGCGACTTCATTCTGATGATCACTGTGTAACCTGTGGCTCGTAATGTCATCTAAATTACAGGAGGGATGGATTTAGTCCTACTGAATGGAAAACGTTGCATGTTAAAGTGATATCTCTAAGTATAACAAATTGGATCGTCAGCTTATTTGCCTTTCCATTTGCATAAAATATATCCAATAACTCTAAATTTTATACAAAATGAATTTGAATCCATTTCGTGGATGCAAGCGGTCCACTGAGCCGCGCCACACCTCGCTCACGTGCATGTGGTACCGGCTATTGTTGTTGTTGCTGTCACTCTATTTAGCCACAATATTAATTACGACCGCTGCCCACTAATGAAGCGTGCTCCATCTTAATTGAGATTGTTAACAAAACAGTAGATGTGGGTCTGTGTCACGGCGACCGTCCGCGTCGCCGCCCGTCGCGTCCTGTCGCACCGGAAGTCCGCTCTGACACTATACTAGCCACAATCCATGCCTAATACAACCCTCCCAATAACTTCAAGAATCAGAAAAACATATACGATAGACAATAAAAGGCAGTCGGTGTCGTGAAGTGCAATTCTTATTTGTAGACTGAAGTGACGGCGTGACGGTGTGACGCGTGACAATCATATAAACAAAACAAACATAGATCGTGGAGAGGATGAGCTCACGCGGCTAGTTGAGAGTAATGAGGACGCGCACTCGTGCCCACTCGGCCGGCAGACACGCGGCGTCACTCGTCGTTGTCCACCACCTATGTACATCATTGTAAAGTGTGCCTAAAACAATTGCAGGTAGAGCGCGTCCAGCAGTGGATTCGTGAGATGAACGCCAACACATTGGTGCTGCGACACCTGCACGCCGACCCCACCTACCACACCAACAAAAGTACGTGCACCTCCACACTCCACCACCACACCACCACACCACCACACCACCACGCCACCACCTGTCACCACAGCATCACAACTCTCACCGGCCACACAGTACTGCGTGATGTGTTATATGCGTGTGTAATATTTGAATCAGTTTGTACCGCACAGAAATGAATAATATTAACAATTTCTGTACCGTAAGCGTAAAGTTATTTTATCCTGTTTATGACGACTTAGCGAAGATATTTATATTCTGTAAGATATAGTTATTTATAGTATATAAAGTATAGTCAGTAGGGTCTGTACTGAGTGGTCGCATGTCGCTACGACAATTGTCTATTATAATTAATTAAAAAGTAATTGACATGGCACGGCAGCTGTTTATTTCCTTGTACATAGGTGAAGGTTTGTATTGAAACTTGTTATCTGATAATAATTTAACAGATAATGTTTCTATGATTATATTAAATTGTTCAAAATCACGGTGCTGTATCTTCTAATATTCATACAAATTCAGATTTCCATACATTATTCCATGGCTATATCACAAGCTGGTAGATTAGAAAAAATATACAAAAAAAGTCATCCGTCAATATTTACGTATTTGCTAAATAAAGAGGATTCTTTCTACACGAGTGACTAATGTGATTAAAATGATTTTATTTCTAGTTTCCATCCTTCATCCATTCATCTCATCTTCATTTTTTTCGAAGCGAGCAACGACTCTTTCGCTCGCTTTGTAAGACTACAATATACATATTAACATATATTTAGTCCAATTACTATTGCTGTTAATTATTGGGGCTATTTTAGCAGTAATTACTTTCAAATGCATTGACACAAACAATTAATTTGTCGTACGTCTGTCAGTTGTTAAGTTGTCGGAGGTGCGTCAATGATGAGTTGTGTATTCATCTGTCAAATAAGAAAGTACCGCCCCCAGAACTTACCACTCAGTGGTAAGTTGCTCGCCCCTAGATCCGGGGCTGCCTTTTCCTTGTACATCGATCTGTGTCTTACACGTATATTGTTTAGATATTTAGGTCATTAGAATAATTAAAACGACCATATCACGAAACTAACTACTACTATTAGAAAATATTTTATTTGTATACTAGCAGTTCCCGCGACTTCGTCCGCGTAGAATTTTATTTTATTTTTCTAAAATAAAAGTAGCCTAATTTACTCCTTATTACATCAGCTAACTGCCAAAAAAAGTCCCGTCAAAATCGGCACAGCTAGTTTAGAAATTAGCCGGAACAAACAGACCTACAGACAGACAAACAAAAAATGTAAAAAATGTTGTTCTGGCGTATGTACCGTATTTATTTTCTTTTATTTATTCATATGCATGTAGTAACAAACGGTACTTCGATATTACAAACAGACGCTCCAATTTTATGTATATGTATAGATATATATATATATATATATATATGAATGTTTGAATATATTGAATATGCGAACATCGAACCGGCAGTCGTCGCCGAATCACTGGAGCCAGCAAAACAATGCGCGACCGCTATACGATTTGTGTGGTGTATTCTTCAGTACTTCAAGATCGACTGGACTCTGTGAGCACGACGTCGAACGCGCTCGGGCTGAAGATAAGCGGCGCGCTGGTGCAGCTGGAGGCGCGCACGCGGGACCCCGCCGCCGCCGACAACCACGTGCGCGCGCGCGTGCTGCGCCTCCAGTACGCCGCCGCGCGCCGCCTCTACGCCGCCGCCCTCGACCGGCACCAGCAGGTGTTGGAGGTGGCGCACCGCCGCCAGCTGCACCTGCTGCAGGAACAGATCAAGCTCAGTGAGTGCTCGCACGTTCCTTTACCCCGTCCTACCGTATAGTCTTCTATCCATAAATTGACGTCGATACGCAGGTACTTCTATTCTCTACCTGCCGGCGTCGACTTACGTAGTTGCATGCGTAAATATTGTGTTTATTTTCCGGACATCGTATAAGTACCGAGTCAAAGTGATGTCTGTAGAGAGATCTGGCTCGTTACGTTTTCTGCGGCTAACAAAGGAGAGCAGTCGTGGATCGCGGTCTGTACATCCGACGATTACCTGCCGGTGTCAATGAACTCCGTTCTCATTTCGTTCTCGCGCGAGAAGTGCTACATATGCACAATACACCAATACGAGGCGCCTCTGTAACATACAAACACATAGCATATGATAACTATCACGAGCTCACCGCTCACTGCGCCGTGATGCATCACACCTTATACTTCTCACTACACTACTGTACACTAAATATACATGCACGTTTTGTTTTTTTTTGTTTTTAATCGACCAACTCGCACACCGGGGACACTCGTACACCGATCAACTAATGTAAACACATGACTAACACTGAAATTTATTCCACACTATCTGTTCCCGCGATTTCGTCCGCATGGAATTTTACTTTATTTATCTAAAATAAAACAATTTTTCTAAAATAAAAGTAGCCTAAGTTATGAGTACTTACTTACTTATTAGCTACCTAGTTAGCCATCAGCTATTTGCCAAAAAACTCCCGTCAAAATCGGTCCAACCATTTCAGAGATTAGCCGGAACAGACAGAAAAAAATTAAAAATGTTATTTTGGTGTATGTACCGTATTTATATTCATATGGATGTAGTAAATAACATTTATTTCAATATTACAAACATACACTCCAATTTTATTTATATGTATACCTATATGTATAGATTATGCTATGTAGGCGCAGTTTGAAACAATTACTTATAATTTATAAAAATTTTTTTAATGTAAATTACATTCAATAATTTTGTATTAACTTTGATTTAATTTAAAAAAATTAATTAAGATAAGATTTAATTAAATTCAATAATTTCTGGAACACAGCAACGTGACAAGTCGCAACTTAAGTTGTAATTAGTTAATTACGTAGGTTCTCAAAACAAAAAACAACAAAATAAGTTGAAAGTCGCGGTTGCATCAGTCTATAGGTGTACGGATACCGTGGGTGCTGTGTGTCGCGAACTTTCGTTAGACCATCCAGTGGCGGTAGTTGACAGAACTGCTGTCACCCACCGACATGGCATCACTGTACTGCAGTCAGCTCGTGACGAGGGCCACAGACAGACAGACGTAGTCGTAACGTAGAGGGAGGTCAACACCATTATTTGCCATACAATTATTCGTATTTAGACCCAATTAGCTGATGTGTACTAAACGCGAAAGTTTAAAAATATCTTTTGTAAATAGTCATTATAATCATTATTACATAGTATATGTAAAACAAAGTCGCTGTCGCTGTCGCTGTCTGTCCGTCCCTATACGTAGGGAATCTTAAATCTTTTAAACTATGCAACGGATTTTGAAGCGTTTTTTTTTAATAGATGGAGTGATTCAAGAGGAAGGTTTATATGTATAATACATGTACACACGTGCGAAGCCGGGGTTGGTTGCTAGTTTTACAAATATAATGATTATGATTTTTTTTATAAATTTATATAATATGTGATGTGAGTAAAATAAATTGTTTAGATTCACGTAGATAACTGAAATCGTAGCGATAGTGTCGCCGATCCCCTTATCTCCGTACTACCACACTAATATCAATTTGTACACACCACTTGTATGTTTGTATTAGTGTACCCACGCACTATATTCAGTATGATTTTTTTTTATTATTTAATGGTTTTAATTTAATTTACAGCAAACCTGTCAATATCGGACGATGAATGTCAGTCGCTACTGGAATCTAAGAACCTCTCATTGTTTGTGGACAACGTGAGTATCGTTTCATTTCCTCTGGATGGTCTGAATGTTTCTTAAATAAAAGTAGCCTAAATTACTCCTTATTACATCAGTTACTTGCCAATAAAAGTACCGTGAAAATCGATCCCGCCATTTCAGAGATTAGCCGGAACCATCAGACAGACTGACAGACAAATAAAAATTGTAGAAAATGTAATTTTGTAATTTTGTTTCTGTATGTACCGTATTTATATTCATATGGATGTAGTAAAAATGGTTAATTCAATATTACAAACAGACACTCTAATTTTATTTATATGTATAGATTAGTTGTATAATATATAGATCACTGGTCTGAATATTGTGGTTACAAGAGAAATATCTCCCTGCAGTTCATTGGGCAGGGTGACAACTAGGATACAACCAAAACTCGCACGTGTAGCAACCGTTTGGCCGTGATCACAACCATACGTGGTGTACGAGTATAACACGAGTCATCTAATGACAAATTGGCTTATACATACATATATGCACGTCCGCCACGCGAGCTGACGCTGCTCCATTCACACTCATATGCTCACACGTATCACAACTACATTAGTTAAATTTGGCTACAATTATTTTTGTGACTGAATTTGTAATAAAATAGTATTTATAATGAAAACAGTATGTATATTTGACTGCTTGAGAAAAATCGAGTATCACAGCGTTGTGTAATGGTCTAGTTATAAACTACTCGCGGAGGTAACATACATTTTCGCACTACCTATGATTAATCCAAAACTTTTCCGGGAACATATTTAACTGGTTTTTTTTTATATTATTTATTTCAGGCGACTTTATGTTATTATACAACAATATTAGCCTATATTGTATATACTTTAAGAATTAACATATGTATAAAATAATGAAACATACATTTCTTCGTGGACATCGCCATCACTATAGTTATCTGGCACGGTAGTGGTGGTAGACAATTCCCTTCGGACAGTAGTCTTCCTTCATGAAGGTGAACAGCAAGTTAGTGGGGACCCGGGCCACGAACGCTTTGAAGCCCGCGATGTGACTACTCCAGCTGCTAACCTGACAGTCTTGGTCCGGATATAGGCTAGCTTTTTAAAATATGGACTGAACTCATCGGGATTAGGGATACTGATGAATAAAAAATAATAACATGCAAAATATGTCGCGTGTGATCGAATGGTTTCGTGATGTGAGTGTGTGTGGGTGTGCGGGTGTGTGGGTATGTGTGGGTGTGTAATGTCGGTCGCGTGTTGTGTTAAGGTGAAGGCGGAGACGGTGGAGGCGAGGCGGGCGCTGCGCGCGGTGGAGGAGCGCCACGAGGAGCTCGCGCGCATCGAGGCCTCCGTCCGGGAGGTGCACGGACTGTTCCTCAGGCTCACAGACCTCGTCGACGTGCAGGTACCACCTACCCTCAACACCTACGGGCCGCCGTATTACATCACACCGAGAACTCTCTTCGGTTTCTTTCTCTGTCATAGTCATCGTTCGACTCTTCCGATACGATGTGATCCGAGTATTTAAACCATATAGTTGTGCCATAAAGACATGCTGCAGCAGCTACAGTACCAAAGTGCTGCGAAGTGAATCGTGACCGAGATAGACCTCTCGTCATTGATTTCATTGCGTGCTTTATGTCATACGTAGACAAATGTAATGGTTTTCCCTGACCTAGCAGTCCCAGCACATAACCACCAGGTACTGGATTAACCCTAAAATAATTAAAAAAATTAAATCCGCAATATCGTTTGGGTCACATAAAGTATATATAGACACTCACAGGAATGGTTTAGAAGGTTTAGGGCTCAATATTTTTTTTTTTTTTGAGATATCTTCCTCTTACCTCTTAAAATTATAGAGTTAAAGCAACATCACACTGTTGTCAATTCTCCTTGGAAACACATTGAGAGTCCTCGATATGGAATCGTATAAAATAATGTCAGAGAAGGCAGTGTGTAATGGGGACTAATAACTTATTACAGCAAGAGAAGATCGAAAGCGTGCAGTATTTCGCGGTGCAGGCCACCGACCACGTGGAGAGCGGCGAGCAGCAGCTGATGCAGGGCATCGTCAAGATGAACCAGGCCAACAAGGTGCGCCCACTCGCACCACCTCCATCATCTACCAATTACCTGCATTGTCTCGCTGTCGTTGATCGTGAATTTAATTTGAACAATTCCATCGTATTTATGACTTCAAAGAATTTCAGTATTCGACGGCTGCGTCTTTCGATTTTTTTTTCCCCTTATTTTTGCAATTATATTGAAACAGTAGTAAACATCTACCACTGCTACAAGTATGCTAATTTTGTCATTGTTTGATTGCTCTACATTTAATTACATTGTTCTCCTGTATAAAGTTTTATTGTTACTTTATTTTACTACTTTTGTGACGAATGTACAATTTATTTTTAATATTAATCATGTATAACTATACCATATATATATATATATATATATGTTTTTTGGTCCTAAATCTCTATAAAACAATTCAATGTTTTTTTTTTTTTTACAGAAAAAGACACAGCTGATCATATTCTTAGTGGTTGGACTATTAATTATTTTATTGGTTTTAATATGTACGTGATGATACAGTGTGAACTGTGACTGATATCAGAATATTTACGCCCAATGGCGTCGCGCTGGACGCCGGCGGACGCGTGCTGTGTTGTGCTATGTGCTGCGAGCGAAGCGGACACGTACCTCGAGACACGAAGTCTGCGGACTGCGCACACCACTTAGTCAATGCTTCCTTTATTTACTATTTACTAGTCATTTAATGTAACCCAAATACAAAATATATTATGTAAGTACATGAATATTTATTTTTATTTAACCAGTTTCCTATTTATTTGGAGAAGGACACTAGTTTACGCGAACGAAGTCACGGGTACAGCAGGTTGTGAGCGACCTTATATAGAAATCCTTCTATATAAGGTTGCTACTACTGTATAGAAATAGGATCTTTTATCGCTTTACACTTGAAGTAATATATAAATAGAAAAGAACTATTTATAATTATGATGTTAAAACACTAGTAGCAATTCTGCTGTGAACAGAAATGCTCATTACCACATGCGACATCCTCAACTACCACTGGTAAAAAATAAATAAATTATGCGTCCATGACGGCATCACTCCATCCAGCCAGCCGGCCAGTAGGAAGCAGCGCTCATCACGCGACACATGAGCACCAATCAAAAGGGTGGATACTCCACACCTATGTAATTTAAAATTGTAAAGTTGTTACATAAACGGTTCATGACAAGAGGTCACAAGTTAGATTTAGGTTACAAATTAACATATGACATAAAATGTATGTTCTAGAAGTTTGATATAATCATGTGTGGCGGTTTACGGATAGTGCGCGGCAACACCGTTGCCTAGCGACGTTGTAGATAGAAGATATAACAAAACTGTCAGATTGGGACACAATCGCTTCTTTTCTCATACATTAAATATACGTTTTATATATTACAATTAAACCATGCAATTATTGTAAATAACGCAAGAATATACATTTGTACATAACCACCACTGGACTCGTTATTTCACCTTTTTATTTCACCTTTACTCCACCTGTCGCTGCCCGTTCCAGACGAACACAAACATAAATAATAGCGGTAACAATATAGACGCTAAATTGGTGACCCACGACGTTCCACGACAGCACAGCAGACACGGTGAAGCGTGAATCTACTCCAGTCCAGGTGGCATCTTCCCTACATTCCTTCTCCTTACCGGCATTCTTACCATACAAGATCTTATCACTATCGTCTGTAAGCAATATCGTCCATCACACAAGAACTCGCCGTCGTTGTGCCGCCCGCCGCCTATAAAGAAACCACGCGACACGGCCCAGTACTAAGACAAGACAATATTAAGATTTTATTTTACTTTTCTCATTTTCTATTGCCGTCAATATATTTTACGTGTATTTTTTTTATAATTGTATGTTGAAATTTATATTTATTGCATGTGTATATTTTTTATTTTCTTATTGTAAATATTAATTTCTTTATATTCGGCATCGCATTGGTCATATATAAAATGGCACAATCCGGCATACAATATGCGTCCCCACCATCTGCCTCGGAAGTGCATAGGGTTTCCGTAAAATTACTTCCTTTCTGGCCTGACCGTCCGGCATTGTGATTCGCGCAGGTCGAAGCAAACTAAATTTAATTATATTATCAGTAATTTGTCCCGCGGAAGACAAATACATATTTTTTTTTTTTTTTAAAGCCGATTTAATCCGCAGACTATCGGCATCTGAGGAAAAAGAGACCGGCAGCTTTTAAGCGATGAGGAGCTGGGGGATAGGCGACCCTCATAATTTCTGAGGCACCTCAAGTCTCTCACGGGGGACTCACTTCGTGACGACGAAGGCATACTTCACCAACTTTGGATGCGTCGCCTCCCGACTCACCTTCACCATAATATGGGTGCACAGGATCTTCCATTAGAGAAGGTAGCGGATCTAGCTGACCGCATTATAGAAGTATCTCCTGCAACACCACTTGCTAGTTCCACCTCAGTTGCCGGTATATCACCTCAGCCTATTAAATCATCTTCAAGCGTTGACCCATTTGCCATTCTTTCTCAGCGATACGCTGACCAACTCACAGAGCAGGTCGCTTCATTGACAGCCTATCAGAGACAGGGAAGTCGGTCCAGGTCTCGGACTCCACAATCCGACGGCACCGAGCGTGTGGTGGCCTACGCGTCTCGATCCTTGTCTAAAACGGAACGTAATTATGCACAAATACAAAAAGAAGCTACTTCCATTGTATTTGCAATTAAAAAATTCCATAATTATTTATATGGAAGATCTGTACCTTTTTATTTTGCGTACAGACCACAAGCCTTTATTATCAATGTTTGGTAATAAAAAAGGAATACCAGAGATGGCAGCTAATAGACTGCAGCGTTATGCTTTATTCTTTGGGGGGACCTTCCCCTTCCCCACAGGGACCCCCGAGGGTCGGACGAACGTCCCGTCATCCCCCCGTTTCTCCTGCCGCCGGGACCTCGGCGAGGTTGTCGGACTCTCCGTGCCCACGGGTACCATAAGGATCACCCCGTTCCCGGGCGACGGGCAGGGGATCTTGGACGGCTTGACACTCCCGCCCGTCGTCCCGGAAGGGCCCGGTCCGTCCGCGTGCGGCCGCTTCGGCACGGCCGTTTTTGCGAGTCCGTCCTCGCTGGACACCAGGCATCCGGACATCTCGTCCTCCACCATCATTGAGCGCGTCGAGCGCGTAGAGCGCGTCGACGACGCTGAGGAGGGCCGAGATGCCCGCGACCTGGCCCGAGAGACGGGCCGCGACCTCGCCGACCGCACCGTGTCGGCGTCCGCCAGCGTGACCGAGTCCGACATGGACCAGAACGCTAAGTCCCGGGGCAGGGACACACCTCCTCGTCCCCCTCGGCGGGGACGGGAAGAAGAGGGGGCTGCTGCCACCAGCCAACTCCTCAACTTGATGGCAGCAACGATGCCGCGCCCGACCAAAGTCGGGCGGATACTACGGAGGCTAGCGCCTCCACTAATTGCTCCAGGGTTTCCCCCGGAGCGGGCACACCAGACTGGAGTTACCTCCGTGCAATCCCGGTGATACACCACAACACCTCAGCGCAGACAAACAAAAAAGAAACAAAAAACAATAATAAACTTAACCTAACTTATACTATCTTAACCTAACTATATATTTACAAACTTAACCTAACTAATCAATAAAAGGAAAAAAGAAAAGAAAAAAGAAAAACACGAAAGAAAAACAAATAACACTAAAACACTACTAAAGTTGCGCCCCAAAAAATGTGGTCAAGTTGTGCCTTAACCATTTTGTGTGTTCCATCCTTGTCAAGGGGAGTGCTAACCGTCTCTCCTTTCAATAGACACAACCTAACCTTTTTTTTTTTTTTTTTTTTTTTTTTTTTCAATTTGGAGAAAATCCCTCATGGAGACCCGCCGGCCCCGGGGGAAGCCCGCGGGTACTGTGAGACTCCTACTCACTAAAAACTCCAAGATGTCCCTCACCCAACGCCAAAGCCGGAGTCGCGGGATCGATGACATTCTACCGCAACTCCGACGGCGGTGGCCCACTCTAGCAGCGGGCCCCATCTCTGCGGGTTCCATAGGGGAACCCACTACTTCCCCTCCTCTTCCCTGGGGAAGGCGCGCGGGGACATGCGCGCGACTTCTTCGGGCCTAGTGTGGTGGGGTGGGACCGCCCCCGCGGTCGTCACCCCGGCCCGGTAGCGATCGAGGAGCGGCTAGTTACCGCCCCTACCTCCCTGATCGCCAGGAGGGGGACTGGGCTCGTGGCCCGTCTCCATCCCCTCCTCCTGAACGCTCCTTCGGCCTGGGGCCTGAGTGGCTGGCCGTGTCCCCTTTTTGTTTTTGGGCGGGGTGCAAGATTTAGCACCCACCCAATGGTTCGCCGGGCGACCTAGCGCGGCGCAGATGACGCACCGCGGATCGGCTGTGCATGTTGCTGCACGATGGCCTGCTTCCCCACAACGGTAGCAAAGGCCACTACGATCCTGGGTTTGTGAGCACTGAGTGCTCACATGTCCTTCTTCCAGGCACCGGAAGCATCGCAGCGGCCTTTGCCGCAGCAGTTCCGTACGTGCCGACACCCACCCGATGCGAATATGTTTCGCGGTGGTCGCCTTCTTGATAGCCAGCAGTGGGCCGCGAACCCAACAGGTCCCCATCCCGGAGGAGTTGCGGCGGATCTCACCAACCCGTATTGCGTCCGCCTGGCAATCTCCAGCTTGCGCGACTGCCGCTGCAACCTCATCTGTAGTCGCAGAGTCGTCGAGGCCCATCACACGCATTTCTGCGGTTTTGACGGGCCTTGCCACCTTTGCCATATTCTCCGGGATGAATTCTCGGAGCTTCGATGCCAAGGCGTCGGCTTTTCCGCCGCTGTCGGCTCCAGGAATCTCCAGGATCCTACCGCCGGTGATAGCCTGGCGAAGTCTAAGAGCCTCTATACCTAGAGGGCGGAGGTCCACTCTAGTTTTTGCCTCCAGCAAGATATTTGCGTATGTAACGCCTTCTCTCTCAGCGGCCGGGTCAATGGTTATTACCACCGCCGCAGAGCGGGGCGGTTTTAACTTTGAGGGGGCCGGTATGCTGGGCTTGGTCGGTTTCGACGAGCTCGGCTTAACTCCCTGGCGGCTCGTTGTTGCTGCCGCCTGTCCTTCGGTGACGTTCACCAATTTACCCCGCTTTCCCTTGACAACAGTGGCCCAGGTGGCTTCTGTTGGCGGGGTTGGCTGTGTTGCCGAGGGCGAACTTCTCCCGCCGGTTGGGAGGCCGTTTTGGCAATCTTCTTGGGCTTCTTTTTACCGCCCTTGGTCTGGGGTTGTGACCCCTGATCGTCTGTCCGTGAGCCACCCGCTTTAGCCTGGGGGACTAAGTCCCGGCTTCCGTCCTCAGTAGCGGGTGGACGTTCTTCTGTCGAGACATGGGGAGATGGGAGGAGGCGATTTTCGATGCTCGCCAATCGGCCATCGATCATCTCGCCCATACGCCTCACCAGCCTCTCCTCCATGCTGTGGAACACCCGTGGAGATCCAACGGATGCCTCTGTCAATGCCGGTTCTTGTCGCCCGGTCGTAGCTCGCGAGCGGGCCACCTCCTCGCGGAGGGCTGCCATTTCGGCGTCAAGGCGCGCGAATTCCTGCCTAAAGCTGGCGATCTTCGCCT